ACCAGGACATCTAAGGACCAGAGGAGGGCCACTGGGGAGGGCAGCTCTGGGGACAAAGGCAGACTCCCTTTGGCTGTGGATATGAAGACATGTCACTGCCAGGTGCCAGAGTACCCCACAGAGGAAACTGACGGCACTGCCCCATGAGGCCCTCAGCCAGCAGTAGATGGGCTGGTCCTCCTCTCTCTCAGGACCAGAGTCTGACTTCAAGAAGCAGGTGGTCCTGCCAGCTGCCCATGGGCTCTGGATTGATCCTTCGAGATGATCTCTTTTAACTCCTGCGGGATAAAAAACAATGCAGGGAGATTGGAGGAAGTGGTAAAAACCCATAGTTCTATTTCTGAAATACACTTCTAATTTCTTCCCCTAGGAACTAGAAGAAACTCCGTTTCACGAAGCCTCACCTGGTCACGCTCAGAGCCCTCACCTTCTGGTGGTCTGTTCCTCTTGACTCTCCTGTGATCCTTTGCTGGCTTATCCCATTCTGGAATGTGCTGTGGGGCTACTTCCTTGGGTTACTGATTGCTGAGAATTTTCATTCTGTGCATCTGCTGTTTTGCCAAGCTCAGGGTTTAGATAGCAGAGTCTTGATCCTCTGGGTTGCCCAGGAGGGTTTCTTCTTACCATAGCCTTAGACGTACTTGCTGCCCACTCCTGATGGCTCTGAGCCTGAACTTTTTTTTTTAGGGCATGTTTGCAGTACGTGATGTTTACATTTCTCGTGTGGAGTTGAAACACTCACATAACACACCTTCGTTCCTTTTCTCATCCCTTTCTCTCTCCCTTCTGTCTCTTGATCCCCTTAATATGTAAGAAAGATCTATCACCCTACTTCCTATTCCTATTACCTATATTTTGTTCTTTATTTATATTTGAGCTTGTGTGACTGATTTATTTCACTTAACATTGTGGTCTCAAGGTGCATCCATTTTCCTAAAAATGACCCATTTATCTTCTTCTTCTTTTTTTTTTTTTTTTTGGTACTGGGGATCGAACTCGGGACCTTGTGCTTGCGAGGCAGGTGCCGGAACCACTGAGCTAAATCCCCAGCTCCCCATTTATCTTCTTATAAGGCAAAGTAGTACTCCATGATGTGTAAATACATTTTCTTTATCCATTCATCTGTTGATGAACATGTAGGCTGGTTCCAAGATTTAGCTATTATGAGTTGTGCTGCTACAAATATAGGTATGCATGAATCACTGTAAGATGATGCCTTTTACCTTTTTATACCTAATGTCCCATAAGAATGGAACATAATAAAAATATTTTTCTTCAAATTCTTGTTCCTTGAATCTTCCTAAGGAACATATATGAATTTCATGCAAACATTGAAAAAAATCACAGTCATCAGCAAAACTGGAGTTAGGCATGGTGGCACAAAAACACGTACCTGGGTCCATGTTCCACATCAAACTTTTGGAATTACTTTTTAAATCACTTTTCCATAACTTACTTTGTTTAGAAAAAAACAGTAAATGACAAAATGCCACTGCACTGAAAAAGGCATTTATGCATTTGTATACTGCTGAGGCTGGTGAGGACAGAGCCAGCTAGGTGGCTGGAATCAGCATAGCTAGGAGAGGGTCGCCGTGAGTGAAGAGAGTGCTCCTGGGTTTGTTTTCCTGAGACTCACTCCTCACCCTCCCCTGCTCTGCTCTGCCCTCCACCTGCCCTCTGCCCTGCCATTTTCCTTGCCAACTTTTGTTGTTTGTTGGCTTCCTGCTGGGTTCCTAACATGAGAGACAGCAAACTTTTGGAGAGCTAGAGAAAGGGAGAAGCTGGTGCTTCCCCTCACTGCTTGGGGAGCAGTTCCGGCAGTAGCTGCCTCTCCTCCAGGACTCCAGCTCTGCCCACCTAGTGATGCTCCCTGCCCAGGGCTCTCCTTCAGTCCCTCTGCCAGCTTCCTGGTTACTGTGTTCTTCCCTTAAGACTTCTCAGCGCCAGCACCGGAGCTGGGGATGTAGCTCAGTGGCACCGTGCCTGCCTGGCAAGCATGAGGTCCTGAGTTTGATCCCCAGTACCAAAAAAAAAGAAAAAAGACTTTTCACCGCTCCCATTAACTGAATTTCATGCTCTCTGCTTTAAATGCTTAGAGTGATTTGTATTTTCCTATTGGGCCCTGACTGATACAAGGGACAAATACAGCATCTATGAATCAAAATGTGTTTCAGGTACAAACTTACCTGAAAATGAACTCCCACACCAGGCCCACAAAAGAGAACAGATAAATGGATTAAGAACGGAAACAACCAAGGAGAGAAACGATACACCAGGAAGCCACCAAACAGATGAGCAGCCTGTCCAAGAGTCTGCACCAGGAAGTAAGTGTTTATTTGCCTGAGTGTGGAAGGGCCAGGAGGTCCTGGCCATTGGCGGAAGAGGTGGACTAGTGCCTGACATAAGAGATTCCCAGCATTCAGCAGGCTGAGGCAGGGGCATCGGACTCAGAGAGAGCAGGAATAGAGTCTGATACACTGATGAAAGAGATCAGAAAGAAGATGGTTAGCAAGGGGAAACTAACAGGCATAGCGGTGCACGCCTGTGATTCCAGCACTCTGGAAGACTGGGGCAGGAAGATCCCAAGTTCAAGCCCAGCCTGGCCAACTCAGTGACTTCGTGAGACCCTGTCTCTAAATAAAAAAGGGGATGGTTGCTGGGAATGTAGCACAGTGTGAAGGCCCTGGGTTCAGTCCATAGTCCTGGCCCCCTCAGAGGGAGGAAGAAGCCTGAGAGACAAAGAGGGAGAGTTGTACATCTTCCGTGGAAAAGAGAGACAGAAATAAAAGGCAAAAGGAGAGATCAGAGAGGCACTGGCCATGAAATCAATGAAAAACATCTTCAGGGGTGGAGGTGCGAACACATGCAGACGGAAGTAGAAATATGAGAGGGAGAGAAGCCGGGTAAGGTATAATGAAAAGGAAAGAGGGTGGAGCAAGCCTCTACTGGATCTCAGATCTGGCATTTTTAATCCGCAGAGTCTTTGGAAGAAGTAGCTGCCCCAGCGAATAATGGAGATGCAAGCGTGGAGCCACTCCGCCCTTTGGCCTGCGGTGAAGAAAGTAATTATGAACCTCACCAATTTTGTCAGATGTTCTATATTTTTTGGTGGTTAGTTGCCTGTTTAAAAAATTCATCTTAACCATTTTTAAACTGACAAATTAAAAATGATATATACTTGGGGCTGGTGGTGTGGCTCAGTAGTAGGGCACTTGCCTAGAAAGCGTGAGGCCCCGGGTTCCATCCACAACACACAATCTCACTCACACACACACACACACACACACATTTAAAACATGATATTTTAAAATATGCATACATTGTAAGGTGGCTAAGCTGAGCTAGTTTGCCATTTGCTTTTCACATATCATTTCTGTGGTGAGAACACAAAATCGATTCTCTTGGCAATTTTTGAGACTATAATAGATTGTTAATAACTACAGTCACTATGTTATACAATAGACCCTTGAACTCATTTTTTTTATGTCTAACATCTCCTCAATTCCCCTCCCTTCTCCCTACAGGTCCCGGTAAATAACATTATACTCCTATGAGGTCACCACTTTTACACTCCACATATGAATGAGATCGTGCAATGTTTGTTTTACTGTGCCTGGCTTATTTCATTTAAACTAATCGTCTCCTGGTTCTTCCATGTTGTCACAAATGGCAGGATTTCCCTCACTTTTAGGCTGAATACTATTCCATTGTCTATGTATACCACATTTTCTTTATCTGGTGATGTATAATTGGGTTGACTTCATAACTTGGGTTTTGAGAATAATGCTGTAATGGATGTGAGCCTATAGTCATCTTTTTGACCTGCTATTTAATTCATTAGGTATATACATATATATATATGACTCTTGAATCATAGTCCTGTTCTACATTTAGCATTTAGCTGTTTGGGAATCTCCATACTGTTCCCCAGTATGGCTCTACTAATTTATATTCTCACTAGGATGGTACAAGTGTTCCCTTTTCTCTACATCAATACCAACACTTGTTATCTTTTGTCTTTTTGATAATAGCCACTCTAACATGGGGGCTGAGGTCTCATTGCGGTTTTGTTTGTACATCCTCGATGAACTGTGAGGTTGATCACCTTTTCATGCAGCCATTGGCCATTTGTAGAGCTATGTTGAATCGAAATGGTGAAAGTGGGCCTCCTTCTCTTTGTCTCGATCTTAAAGGGAAAGCTTTCAACTTTCCACCATTTAATGTGAGGCTTACTGTGTTTGTCATATATGACCCTCACGTGCAATGGTAATATACCTCCGCCTTTCCCATTTGAATCACTTTTATTCCTTTCTCTTGCCTAAATGCTCTGGCTATAACTCCCAGTACTATAATGATATTACAGGTACTGATATATTGAGGTACATTCCTTACTATCTAATTGCTGAGAGTTTTTATCATGAAAGGACATTGAATTTTATCCAATGCTTTTCTGCATCTGTTGAGGTCATTGTATTTGTTTTATCTTCATTATACCAATATGGTATGTGATGTCTACAGATTTGCATAGGTTGAGCCATCCTTGCGTCTCTGGTTAAATTTGACTGGATCATGGTGGAATGTCCATTTAATGTGCTGTTGAATTTGGTTTGCTGGTATTTTGTTGAGGTTTTTTTCATCTGTGCTCATCAGGGATATTGACCTTGTAATTTTCTTTTCTTGTAAGGTCTTTGGCTGTCTAGGACCGGGTTCTATGGGATACAGCCTACGGACAGGGAAGGCTTAGAGGCTTGGATCATGGTACTGGCCCTGAATCTGAGGCCATTAGGGCCTGCTCAGCTTTGGGGCCTAAAGCAAAGTCTACTCTCACTTCCTTCTCCTTCTCCTAAGTGAAGAGTTTCTCTCTCCATGCTCTGCTGCCTAGATTAGGGAAGGAATGACACAGAGAACGTAAAACTTTCCTTCCTGCCATCTTCAGTGGATCTTTTTCTATTTCTTTGTTACATTTAGGTGCCGTCATTGCTCACCTGGTTCCCTTAAATCTTGTGAAAGCATTTTCATACTTGTAGTTGTTCAGATTGGTGTTTCTGGAGGGAGATGAGCTCTGGAGATTCCTATTCCACCAACTTGCTCTGTGCCTCCCAAATTTTCTAATTATTATGTCTTTGCTTTTTTATGAGAGCAAAAATGTTCCTTTGTTCTCCCATACTGACTGCCCATACACACCCAGACAAATGATCTTTGTTGCAGTCTCTGGTTGCTTTTCATAGTTATGGGATGTAGGGGAGAGAAGGTGCTATTCTCTTTAATGGAGGGGGTACCCCTGGGTAGAGAATGCAAAGAGAGAAAATATGGAAAAAGTCAACTAGAAAACACTACACAACAAAGAATATGGGTGAGACAGACTTTAGAAAATCAACATGGAATCTGAACATTTCCATCCTGTGTGGTTGATGACATGAAGTGTGTTAAAACTGGCTTTTCAGAAGTTAAAGTGGTAACATGGAAATCATTCGTGTTTCTCATCATATTTGCAAGGAAGGAAGCCCAAGGGAAAGTCCTTCAGGACAGAACTGTAGGTGGACAGACTCTGGTGCAGTGGGCAGTGCACTAGGGGAGAACGCTGTTGATCACTGGGATGTTTGAAATGAGGCAAACACAGAAAGACAAAGAGTGATGATAAAAGAGGCAGGCTAGGGTCACAGTGATAATTAAGAAAAAATGGATACACCTTGAGACTATAGTGTGGAATGCAATAAATCAGACACCCAAGCTTAAATACAACATGGTTTCTTTATTTGAGAAACCAAAAGCATAAATCATTAGAGTAAAATAAAAGAGAGATGATAGGAAACAAAGAGATAGATCTTTAGCAAATGAGAAAGGGATCAGGAGAAGGGGGGAGAGAGAAGAGAGAGAGGAAGGGACCAAGACATAAAAAGAATTAAGATGTGTTGTGTACATGTATCAACACTTCAAGAGAAATGTAACCATTATGAGCTATAAATACGTACTAATACAAATAAAAAACAACTAAGAAACAAAATCAAACAAGAAACAGGTAGAAAACATAACAGAGATGGACCACTTGGCACATGGGGTAGGGAGGAGACAGCACAGCGGGTGCTAAGTGTAGCAGGGGGACCCACAGAGGGCCTTGCTCTCAGCCCCAGAGATTGAGCATTTCCTTAATTCTTGTGCCCAAAGTGCAGCCCTACTCCTGGCCCTGAGATACAATGGTCTTTTAAAATGTAGAGAAAAAGAGAATGAGCAGAGAAATATATAAAGGAAAATGAATGCCAAGGAATAGGATGAAATGGGAGAAAGCACAAAGGAAACAAGGAGAGAACCAGTTGAAGGAGAGTGAATGAAACTGAGGTAGAGAGCAGGCTGTGTGAGAGAAGATGAATCAAGACACGGTTTGATCTGAGTCAACAGTCACAGTATATCACATGGCCCCCATGAGCCTCTGGGATTCCCACAGCTCCCCTGAGGCATCTCGTCTCTCCAAACCTCAGGCACCATCTGGGAACTGTTGACTCCCAAACACACATCTCCAGCCCAGACCTGTCCTTTGAGCTGATTTCTCCCGAAGGCCTTCATTCAGGGGTCTGAAAGAAATCCTTATTCATCCTTATTCCAGCCCAGACCTGTCCTTTGAGCTGATTTCTCACAAAGACCTTCATTCAAGGGTCTGAAGGACATCCTTACTCAGAGGCAGCCTCAGGCATGCCTTGTGCAGTGTAACAAACTCTCCCAAAATCTATTGGCTTATTTACCTCCCAATGCCACACCAAACTGCATTTAGTTGTAAAGCTCTCTCTCCTACATCTCTACCTCTACATATGCTTATGCAGTTTGTTGTAATCTTTTTAAGTTAAAAATGTTCACACAGTAGAACTCAGAAATTACATTCTTAAGCAGAAACTATCAGAAATGCATATTATGTTCATTGAAACCCATAGGAAAGAATGTTCATAGTAACATTGTTCTGAAAAGGCAAACACGTAAAATGACACATTTGGATAAATACATTTATGGCTTATTTCTGTGATGGAATACTATACAGTTATGAAAATAGTTACACAAAATGAACACAGATGACTCTTGCAAACATGTTTCTGTCACCATGGGGTGGGGAGAAAATGATTCGATTTCTATAAATTACATAAAATTCAATGGATGTACATGTTGGAAATCAAGATGGGGGTCAACTTTGAGAAGGACAATGAGTTCCATTAGTGGGAGGTGTCAGTAAGAGACTTCTAGAGACTTCTAGAGTTTTGATAATCTTCCTCTTGACCAAAGCAGCATTGCTTACTTTGTGATCATTGAAAACCCACTCTTATCTATGTATATTATATTGTGGCCATGATTTTTATTTTTGAGAAAACAAAAATTATCACTCAAAGGAGCAGAACAATAAGTAAAGGAAAAGATGAAAATAAAACAGCACTAATAGAGGCACAAAGGAAAGGACAGAACTAAGCAGTAGAAAGGAAAGAGGCATCAGGGCGAGGCTTCATTCTCAACCGTGAGAAGCACGAAGGGGATTACTAAACAGCCTCAGGTGAGTGAGACAAATGTTCTTTCTTCATTACAATTCTCCCCAGGGACAGAGCTGCACAGCCAAGGAATCCAAGTTAGCTCCTGTTCTGTGCTTCTGGTGGATATAAAGAAGGAAAAGCCATTCTACTCAGAAGATGAGCAACGAGCCCAACGCAGGGCTAAACCTGCCCGGCCCCCTGACATAATAGGTATGGCTGAGCAAAGGGCTTGGAACTCTTCCCAGGGAATAGGCCCCCAGGAAAGGGTCTCAGGTATGTGGTCAGCATCCAGCAAGGCCTGCGACAGAGACAGGAAAGGGAGGAGGCCAGCGCCTGTGTAAGCTGAAGTGAGCATTTAGCTCAGCATAAGAAAGTTCTGAGAAATTGGGGGAAATCCGAAAGGCAGAAGTGGAGGTGATAAAAATGATCCATGTCAGAAAGGCTCTTTCTAAAGGAAGGGAAGAGGGCAAGAGGCAGGAGTTAAAGAAAAGAGAGGGGGAAATCAAGGAACCACGGTGTTCATGAGAGGAGAGGAGAAAATCACATCAAGGCAAAGAGGTGTAAGGAGAGGCAGTCAGCAGACACGCAGGGGTGGAAGCAGGGATAATGGGAAGGAGCAAGAAGAACATGAAGTAAAGTGAGAACCAAAGAAACAGGTCAGGTGACAGCAGGGAAAGTAAGAAGTAGCATGAGGGAGGAGGTCAGGGTATCTGTGGGCTGGGTCTTCTCAGCTTTGAGGTCAGGCCCGGTACCAGTCTTCACCTTCGAGGACGGGTCCCAGACTTTGACCCCACTTAGCTTCCTGCTGCTCTTGCTGTGGGATTCCAAGCTGCATGAGTCCCCTGGTCACCCCGAGACTCTTAGAGGGATTTACTCCTTTGTGCAGTCATCAGCAGTGACGACTCTGAAGACCTCAGTGACGAAGATGAGCCCCCCAAAGCCTCCACCTCAGCCCTGAGAAGTGAACCCGGTGAGGAAGGCTGGAGGGCAGGACACGGGCAGTGGAACTGTGGATTCAGAGCTGCTGTTTTACTCTGACCCATTGTGTATGAGAGGTCTGGTTTATCCCAGAACCCTATTCTCAACGTTGATTTTATTTAACCATTTTAGGCAATGCAGGAACTTGAGAAATTATCACACATTTATTTTGAGGGATTAATGTTACTAATAATTCAGTTTGTATGTGCATTGATTATATAGTTGGTATAGGCTAGCAAAATAATGAGTTTGGGTTTTTTACACTAATTAGTTGCCATGCTATGAAGTGATAGACTTATTCAATGATTTCTATAGAGAACAGAAAGCTAAATAATCCTTTGTTGGAAGATCATAATGTTATCTGGCCACAAACTTCAGGTTGTGTCAAAAAGAAGTTTGTTCAACTATCTAATGTTAGTAGAAATAAAGATTTGAGATAAAGTATTCTGGAACCCAAAGTATTGTTTTTAACAACATTTTTTAGCAAGTAATGGCACATGGAGTGATTTTTTTTAAAAGACTTTTGCAAATAATTTGTTATTTTTTTCTTTACAAGTCCTTAAAGGTTTGTAAAGCAGGGTAGACACTGTAGTTTCCTAGATGAGAAAACATCATCACAGAAATATTTAAAACTCTTCTCCAAAATTTCAGGAAGAATTAGAGAAAAAAAAAAGTATAGCACCCTGGATTCTGAGTTACTTGCTTTGTAAAATGTGAGAAAGACGTGCTTATCAAAATGTGTTTTCTCAGTCCTCTCTACAGCGAGAGTTGTTATAAAATTTAAAACTTTGTAATGTACAAATTGGTGATTTGTTTTCCCTTTTTATTTTCTAGATCCAGAGGATTTTAGAGACATGACTCTTTAGGAAAAACACACTAAGACCTAGGAGCAAATGAAAATGTTACCTAGTCTTGAAGTTATAAAAGAATAATATGTAAAATAGAGCCTTCATTCCAATTGTTTAGACATTGTCTAAAGGAAAATGTAAATTTGCTTCTGTTTTTAGACAGTGTATACATTTACCTCAGTGTAAGAAAACCACTCCAAAAAATTTGTCCCCAATTATGTCTACAGCTCAAACACAAAAGATTATGCTCAGCCTTGTACAAGGTTCAACGAGGCACTGTTAGGGGCAGAAGTGGCTCCTCTTTAACATAAGATTTCAAGGTCATCTGCGAGAAGAACAGAGGCAGAGAGGATGGAATTGTGGAATGAGAAGTAGAAAGGGTAAGAAGTAAAAGGGACAGGTACAGGGAGAAAGGGCCAAGCAAAGCAAAGATGTCCCTTGCCAGTGAATTGTCTCCACCTCTGGGGACAAGAATGGAATGTCAATAACCAACCAGCAGGTGATTTAGAAAGGCGTGGGTTTTCAAGGTTTTTCCAAGTTTTCCTGTTAGGGAATTTCATACTGAATTGGTTCCTTGGTCATAACTGAAACTTCTAAGGAATTTTACTTTTGTTTAAAAAAATTTTTTTTATTAGTGTACGTTTGAGATACATAGTGATTACAGTCAGCTTGGGGGATTGATACGTATCCATATCACATCCTGATCGTCCTTATTCCCCCTCCTCCCCCACCTTCCCCTGTCTTTCCTCTCCCAGATCCTTTTCCCATCTCTACAAGGTCTACCTCTTTGCATCTTAACGCGGCTCTTTCATTTTGCTTTCTAAATCATTTATATTTTAACTGTCTGTATTCCTTTATTCAGTGATCAGTGACCATGACCCATTAGAATCAAGTGAGGAAGAGGAAACCCAAGAAGCCAGTTGCTCACGTCAGAGCACACCAAGTAAGAATGTCAGAATTGCAACTCCCAGGATACAGAATATTGGAGTCCGAATCTAGACCTCTGCTCCTGATGAACTGTATTCTGAGCATTCCCTATACACTTTGATTCTCGAACTTCTGGGGAAAACTTTTCTGCATTTAACCTCCCTAAGTTATTGGAAAATGAAACATGTCAAGAAGGCATTACAAACTGTTGTTTGGCTGGATGAGTCCAACTAATAGATATCATGAAAACATAGCAAAAATATGCTAATAAAATTAGTCTTTTTTACTACACAATCTATTAATACTAAAGAACTGAAACAATGTACTTATTCACTATACCCCTTTACCTTTTATAGGTCATAGTAAGCACAGTATTTCTCTATTCATCAATATTATCTTTAGTCACAAGTTTAAAGTCTTCAAAGAATAATTTGTGCTGCTATTTAATTTTTGATTGGATAAAAATGACTTCAGCTCAACTACATTCAAATCTAAATTATAGTTGCATGGTTGGCATACATTGTTATTTTTATTGGACTTTTGTAAATAAATCTTCATATTGTCATCACAAAAACCTGTACAGGGAGGTATGTTAACTAGGTTATCCCTACTATATAGATGAAAAAAATGGAACTAGGAATGGTTAAGAGTCATTTACAAATTTACATAAAGAATTTTTTTAAAGCCAGGTTGGATCCCAACCTTATGACTTTGGACCTACAGAACCAGATTGAACGGAAGGGAAGAAAGTAAAATGTTCATGAAAACTTGGTTAGGATTGCAAGCCCATTTGCTATGTGAGTTATCATAACACTTGTCTTTTGTATGCAAATAATGATTTTCTCTCCTTTTTTTTTTTCCTCCCTTTTTCTTTACAGAGCCTATGGATTTCAGAACATTCAGAAAAAGCCCTCTGAAAAGAGGTGAAAGAAAATATGGTTATCAATTGTTATGGCTTATGCCTAGCTGTACCCCCCCCAAAGCCTCATGCAGTCATGAGTGGGGCCTTTTCAGGGGTGGCTGGATCTAGATTTTGTGACACTGGGATTGATTCATAGTGCAATGCTAGGCTTAAGGGCTCTAGGATTAAGAGTGTGAGTGCTATCCACCCTAAGTAGCCTGGATAAAATATAAGGGATAGAAAGAATTGTAGTTGTCACTTGCTTGCTTGTTTGCATGCTTGCTTTTCTGTCTTCTGCTTGCCATGAACGGATTCTCCTCTGAAATGCCCATCTGCCAAGCTACCCTGCCTTGGAGCCAGCTGATTATGAACTGAAACCTCTGCAAACTGTGAGCTAAATAAACCTTTCTGCCTTTAACTTTGGGTATCAGGTATTTTGCTTCAGTAACAAAAGAAAAGTAACTAAGACATCAATGAACCATACTTCCTACAAGAGATTAATTCTAATTCTTTGTTATGGCCTTCAAACTAAAATACAAATTTGGTTTAATTTTAGATGATTTAAATGTTAACTTTTTATATTAGTTAGGTAGAATAAACTGCTGTAAAATATGATTCCAAAGAAGTCAATGATTCAAACATAGTAAAATTTTTTTTAATTTTTTAAATAGAAGTTTAAGTTTTTTCTTAATGTTTATATGGGAGAGAGGAGTGATCCTTATAGTCAAGTAGAAGATACATCTTCTTTGATACCAAATTTCTATGATTGCCCTGAGAAGAAACAAAGCTATAAATACATACAAATACTGATACAAAACCAACAACAGATCCTTAAAAGGACAAATAAAAGAAAAAAGATAACACAAAGAAGACAGAGGGCTAAGACAAAACTGTGATGCCCACTGAGGATGAAACCTTCTCAACCTCAAGCTCAGATGACAATGAGGGATGAAATATTAACCTACAGGTCACATGAATTTGAAAGGTAGATAGATCACAGTGGTCGGAGGGAGGGCATGCTTGCCCTGGAATGCCAGCCTTTTTAAGTTTTCCCTAGGTCTCATTGTACAGAACGTTCTTCTCCTGTCTTGGTTTTCTTGTCACACACTGAAACCCCCCGGGGACATTTGGTCCTTTCTGCAGGGAGAGAACATGTCCACAACTCTTCAGAATCCAGTGAGGAAGAGACACTCCCCCAAATCGACTTCTGCAGCTCAGAATGGAGAAGTGGGCCGAGTACAACAGGTAAGGCCTGACCTCCCCCGCTCCAGGACACCAGGGTCCAAGTTCAGAGCTCACGTTCTCTGCTCAATTTACTCTATGCACACGCTGCAACATAGTCCAGGCAGTCTTGGGAGCTTGTTCTGTGCATTTACCTCCTCTAGATAGTTTGAAAAATGCAAATAATTTATAAATCCAGGCTTAACAAGATGACTGCAGTTGAATGACAATGCACCTTTTATCACATAACCTATCAACCCCAAAGTATTGGGTTGACAGCATGATTTCCAGGTATGCCCATCATGTACTTTTGTAGAGAAAAAGAAGGCATCCTTTGCTATTTCTTGGTTTTGTTACAAACTTGTTTAAAATTCAAAAGACCCTGGCTACTCTGTAATTATTGACATAAAGCCTTTTGGTTATCATCATTAAACGCATAGCTTTTGACAGATGATAGCCAACACGACATTGGCCAATAATGATAATTGAAAATGTTTTTTGCAAATAAGGTCTCCATTGATCATTAGAGCAACCAAAAAGAAGGCAAAATAAATGTTGCTCCTCCTATTTCATAGACTGGGAGATGTCAGCACTTAAACCATTAAGGCTTTTTTACACATTACATGTAGAAAGTTACTGGAAGAAGCAGAACTAACCCCCTGGACTCAGCAAACATTTCTGATCCTTTGTTCAAAACCTCTGAAATCAGGCATATTTTAGAATTCAAAAATGCTTTATTATTTTAGAAGGACAATGTGGTTTGTAATCTATATTACAAACACCTCCAATAGAATCTAGGGGCAGAATCCCATTCTTAAATGTACTGCCTTAATGTTTCTGCAGAAAGTCGTATGAATATTCACACCAAATGTGATCATATTTTACAGGGACTCATGGCAATACAAGTCCAGATTCACTGCTGAACTAGTTCATTGCAACCTACAAAAGCAGATTGGTTTCAAAATGCCTTTGATTTTTGCAGTTAGGGCTAAATAATTTTGGGTGTCTGTCCCATTTGGTGGAGATTCTGTTCTTAAGATGAAAAGAGAATTAATCGTCATAGCATCTTCGTAGTCCAAATCCTGTCTACAATGTAAGTAGTCATAAAATTTATAACACTTGTAGTTATAGATCACTGGCTTTATCTTTCTTTTCTTTCTAGAGCCTGTGCATACTGGAAAACCATCTACGTGGGGAACATACAATTGGAAAAGATGTAAGGCCAATTAAAAACTCTAGGTGTTGGGGCTGGGGATTTAGCTCAGTGGTGCTGCCACCTGCCTCACAAGAGCAAGATCCTGAGTTTAATCCCTGGTACCAAAAACAAAAACAAAAAAACACTCTAAATGTAACAAATACTTCCCTTTGCTACAAAAGCCTCATTCAGAAAATTTTTAATATCCTTTGAAATAACAAGATAAATTTGTTAGGATGTTAGGTGATTCACATTATACATTTTGAATTAGTTGGGTTGGGCTAATTGGTATAACGTACAGGCCTCAAAGTGTACACTGGCACAAGCACAATACAAGTTTATTTTTCATCCATAGAAAGAGGATGAAACAGTTCCCAAGTGGAGAATGTGCTCTGCTCAGCACAAACATTTAGGGCTCAGCTGGGGGAGGTGCTGATACCTTTTAAATGTGGCTTCCATGTCCCCCTGGAGATAAAAGAGGTAGAAGCAGAAATGTATGCAAACAAGTGGAAAGGGTGAGAAATATAAGAAATGATGACAAAAGGGAGAGTCCATGGCAAAGTGGTTTTCAGCCCCAGTCTTGGGATGGTTCCTGGAACAACCTTGACCAGTGGATCAGATAAAGCCAGAAGGTGGCTGGTGGTAGGATATTCCTAATCCTCCCACACAAGCTTCCCTTTTCCGATTTCCTTTTAAGCAGTTCTCTGCTGGATTCATTCCTAAGACCTAAGAACATTAGTATTTTCCATCTTTTTTCAGGGCTCAATAGTGGTGGCTCTTCCGAACTGAATCACAGAGAAGAGCATCCAGAAACCCTAAGAAGTGGATCAGGTAAAGAAGATTAGGATGCCAAGCCTTGGCCTGCAGGATGTCAGGAATCTGAACTAAAAGCAACTGTATTTCTGAGCACCTTGACTGCCTTGTATCCAGTTAATCCTGGGAACTCCTTCTCATAACTTTAGAAAATGGAAGGAGGCAGAAAATTATAAACTCATGTTACCAAGCTGAGTCTTGCTAAATGTTTGTAATTATATATTGTTATTATAGAAGAAATAAATGACAAGATGATGTTATCTTTTTTAATAACCACTGTCATGCCTGGTAACACAAGGATCCTAGATTTCTATTGATATAATGGTCATTTGTCACTTGTAATTGTAGAAACCTCAAAAGACAACTGGTCCTGCTATGTAATTATAGATAGAAATAAAAACTTTGGATCAATCACTCTCAAATGTTAGTATAGTTTTTGACAAATGTCCTTCACAGTGTAATTGGATTGTATTTTGCTACTTCAGTGTGCTTTGAAAAATATTCTGTCATCACAAAACCCTTAAGACTTAAGCAGGCTAACTCTTGCAGGGCTCATTTTGGGTTAAGGAAATAGATGTACACACCTGTAAGGGTCCGAAACATAAAGGAACAATAGGCACTAGCAATCCAAGTGTCTCACAGTGAATGACTATTATATGTAACAAACGAGAAGAAAAGACCTAATGCAACATGATCAGAGTTGAAAGAGGTGGTAAAAGAGACCCAAAATACTCACAGGGAAGTGCATCAGTACCTGATTCAAGAAAAAAAGCTTATTTAACAACAAAAACAAATAGTATATATAATATGTTGCATAAAATATATGTGTAACATGCATATGTGTGTGTTTATATACACATTATGTACATATAATGTATAATATATACATATATAGGTATGTGTAAAATATAAAAATATATGTGTAATATACAGAGCCTGGCAAAAAAAATGTATACATCAGGAAAAGAAAATTTGCATAAATATTTTAATACTAAATTTATTGAGATATTATCAGATTAATACAAATTACCTCTGCAATTATAAAAGGTGCTCAAAGTGATGGCCATTCACTTCCAGACATTTATTAGTGCAGTGACTGCTGAAGTGTACAGACTTTTTTTTAGCAGCCTCCCTCCCTCCCTCTCTCTCTCTCGATATATATATAGATATATAGATGATATATATATAGATATATATAGATAGAGATGCATTTCAATAGAGAGGGAAAGATGAAAGTCACAGAGAGACAGGGTAGGAAAAGGACTATTTTGTATACAAAGTAGCTAAAAGGATAAATCCAGAAAGGATTAATAGAGAAACAAGGGCAGATTAAGAGCATTGCTGAAAAAACAATACAGGTAACTGCCAAAGAGACAGAGTTAGAAAAGTATAAAGGCAGGGCAGTGGGCGCGAACTGAAAAGGAGAATGAAGTGTAGCCACATAGAAAAAGAGACTAAATCTCTGTTAGATATGAGGTGGTCACTGAGTAGGTGTGTTGTTTTCTAAGCTCAGTTGAGTGTCCCACATAGTTCACATAACTATGTTGAGTTGTGTTTCCTGGTCACCTCTATAGTCTATAGACTGTTATTTCCTTATTTCTCATCAGTGTCTTGTCAATCTAAGATCTTCAAATGAATAGAAGAAGAGAGTCAGAAGGAATTAGGCCAATTAGCATGTGGTGGAAAAGCCAATTATGATACTATTAATCATTTTTGTTTTCCTTTGCACATGCAGGAAAAACTTCTTTATCTCTCCCCCCCAAACATGCACACACACACACACACACACACACACACACACACACACACACCTGTCCCTAGATTCTTAACTGCTTTCTACAGGTTTGTGGGGGCAAATGAAAAAGAAGAGTGGGGCCCCTGGATGGAGGGGGTGACCTTGAATGAATAACATAAGGAGTAAGAATGGGAAAGGTAGGCTTGGTTATTAAATGAGAAGATTATCTGAATAAGTTTTGAGTTTTCCTAAATGGACACAGATCCAAGTATACCAGAGTGGGAGTTTGGAGGAGAAAGGGGATGATTTCCAAGTTTCTTCTCAGAAATTATACCAGAAACATGGAAACAAAGTCTGTGATGGGCTTGCAACATAGAAAGCTCCCAGGGAACTGGCAAAGATAATAGAGCTGGCTGTGTAGTCATTGTCAAAAGAGCTGGCATTTGATGATAATGACAGTAGTAATCTGTGAAGTGGAACTGGATATAGATGAAAGAAATGGGTTTAAAGACAAGGACTGACACTGTAAAAACAGCTAAACGATCAATAAGAAGGTTGCCTCAGTAATAAAACTAGAGCTAGAAATATGAATGTAGAAAAATCAGCGGAATGAGATATATATACAGAAGGTGACAAAGGAGAGGCATGAAAGATGAGGCATAATGGAAACTATGTAGATTAAGTGTGAAAAGAAGAGAAAAATACTGAGGGGGATGCAGTGTAAAGAGGGAAGAATTAGAGAGATTGCTGGATCTGAGATGGACATGAAACAAAGCAACTTGATGAGAGGTGTACCTCACAGTAGCAGTGAGTTTTCAAAGAAAAGTGTTCTCGGGTATTTAAGGGGCCCCAGCACTCACCCAGATTACACGAAACCCACCTAAGCATTTCACCCACTCCTATGGCTTCAATCACCATCAGCAGCCTAATGGCTCCTAACACATCTCCAGCCTGCCTTGTAAACAGCCAGGAAGCCTCTGTCCGAGGTCCTGAAGGTCTTAGATGCCACTTAAATGTCTCTGGAGACCTTCAAACTCCAGATTGAATGCTTCCAAAAGTGTACGCATCATCTTTTCACCCTAAAACCAGTCTTTGTTCCTCCACTGTTCTTTATTTCTAAAACACACTATCAATTAGCACTTTCTTGCAAGTGGAAATTCTCAGCATCACCTATGAAGGGAGAGGACTTACACATAGGGAGGAATGATGAAAGAGAGATTTCAGAGGTAGAGCCACCCTTTGATGTAGGAGTGGGGAGGAGGGAGTCACTAATGTTGGGAGAAAGAAGAATCTTTAGACGGGAGGGGACACAAATGAACATCTACAAATCACAATTTAGGAGCAGAGCTGCAAGGACCTGGAAATAAATGTTCCTGTGTCATGTGTTCCTCGGAATGTGTGCCAGGAGGCCAAGATACAAGGATGGAAAGTGGGAGAGCATCTTACACGATGGGTAAGGTGCCCAAGGATCTTGGGATGGAGGAGGCTCATTAATACCACTGACACTGGGTATTACTATAGCAGGTGCTCAGAGTTCAGGGGGAACATCAGACAGACTCTGGTTCACCAACAGGAAATGGGCCCTCGGGCTCCCAGGCTCTGGGATATTAGGAATCTGAAGTCAGACTTCTCATTTCTTGTTTTACTTGACCGTGAGAACATGGTGACAAGAACAAGTCCAATCCAGAAGCCTGTTCTCTGTATTTACTTGACCCAACCCTTCTGAGAACCACAGAGAACCAAGCGCTCAATGGAAAGTTATGTTTAAGATCAGCTCTGCTGGTTAGAAGTGGATGCTGTCATACAAATACACTGGTAAAAATGGCAGTGTCTTACTTGTTATATTAGCACATCAATACTAAAGTGTTGGATTTATATGATTTCTATCCTTCTCTGTGAAACAAAAAAAAAAGCCGTGTTCTTGAGTTGGTAGATCTGGCAGATGGTGCTGTCACTTTGTCACAACCTTAGAAAGGCCTAGAAATAGAAACGGCCCTGGTACCTGTCAAGAAAAATACCCCAGATAACTAAAAGTAAAAGATATTCTCTGATATATAATTGATTTATGTAGTGATTTTCTATTAATTTTTGCAAATGTCTTAATCTTCATAAAAATGTAAACCCTGCACAAGATAACTGTTGCTCTTACTGTTACATAAAGGAGGAAACTGTACACAGGAATAATTAAGAGATTTCCCAAAGTCTTGGAGAACTAATGGAAGACCTTAGGCATCAATTCTGTACCTGTCACTTTCCAGAAGGGAGTCAAAGAAATGATACTATGATAATATTTGTAACTTTGATTTATAAGTTCCAGTTCTCTGATCACCACCTGTCACTTTCTAGATGCTGTGGATGTGGGAAACAATTCTACTTTGGGAAAAGACATTGGGAAAAGAAGTAAGAACAAATAAGAATTTGATGTTTATGTTACAAGTGAACTATTTTTTAATGCTGAGATTTATCGTCACTTTTCTGTACTTTTTGTATGACAAAAATGAATGCCTTTTAAAGTAACAACTTATTGTTTTCAAAATGCTTTTACCTTCATGATGTTTTTTATCCTGATTTAAAAATTTGTTTTCTATAGTCATTGGTCTTTTAAGAATACATCTGTGCATGTATAAATATATTTTGGGATATAGTTTTATTTATTTGAATAAGGTAATTTGATATACATGCTTTCTGTACACGTATATTTAAATTATTAAACTAGTGTACTATAGCAAAACAATAAACGTTTTACTCTTTTAGTTGAATTATTAAAAATGTTATTTCAGTGCTGCTTTAATATACGTTATTTTCATTTTCATTGTGGCAGGAACTTTTGTTTTTGGCCATTTGTTTTGCTTCTTCCTAGAAGTCTTTGTTGTTGGATGATATCAGTGTTTCCTGTTGGGACGATCAGATCATCTCTTTCTCACTATGATAACGTTAGGGATGCTTTTATGGTGCACACATTAAATCTGGGTCATGTGTGTTGCTCATAGTTTGTGTCCTAGAGAGTCTGTTGTCCTAACGAATTTTTACATTTTTCCGTAGTCAAATTTGGCAGCCATTTTCTCGCTGGTTCCTGAGCTTCCTTTCATATTTACAACAGCTATTTCTACCTCAAGCCTTAAAAATTACCGTTCTGTATTTGATTATAGAATGTTTGTGAAGTATCTGGTCACTTTAAATGTTTACACCTATCATCCACAAGGGATTTGTCTCTTTTTGTATATGTGAGATGGGAATTTAAAAAATATTCCTGATGCTATTGCATCAGGATTTAAGTTGCCACTTGGATCATGCAGCGACTTTGCCTATTAGTATATTAGTTTTTCTTTTGCAACTGAAGGAACTGAAGAAGAGAAAGGCTCAGAGATGGAATAATCCTGATGACTTACTGAGGACGAATTTTAGGATAAATTCAAGAAGCTCTCTCCCCACCCCCTTCCCAAGTGCTATGGAACATCTGATTCCAAATCCATTGAATTATCAGATTAATTGGGGAACAGAGATGTTTACTTATTTATCCATGTTTCATCTAATGTTCTCCCACTAGGAATTTTCTTTGTATAACTCGTGCACTTTTTGAATAGTTTCAAATATTGTATAAATCTGTATGTTACCATGAACATCTTTTTTCTACTACTTAGTAACTAGAGTGAGTTTAAATGAGATAAAGCTCTCAAAATTTTTATTTAACAGGAAATATTGGGTCATTTTATTGCCTAATTACATGTGAGGGGACCAGCATGCTACTGATTGAATGTAAAATCTGACAAGCATTTATACAGTTTAGGAAACCAGGTGTAACTTAAAATATTATGGCCAAAACTTATCAAGTAAGATTATCAGCCAGAACTACAAGTTTCCTTGGAAATTGGTTTATGAGAAGTGGCAATCATTTCTAATTTGGAGAAGTATTACAAGATCATCTTCAAATAACTTCCAATTATAAATTTAGAGAGTAGAAAAATTGGTAATGATTATAAATAGATATGTCTCTATATTTTACTAAAGAATAAGACATAGCTTCTTATAAAATTTCTCAATCTAATACTTCATTAAATTAGACCCTCTTAATTAGTTTTATAGTGCAGAATTCTCTTTCTCCTTCCACAGTGATGTATTGAAGAGACTTTTCCTTCATCTCTTTCTGTGATTCCTTTGTTAGGAAGACTTAGCATTTAAAAAAAATCTAGTCCCTGGAATTTCATTAGTTAGCTTTCTAAGAAGAGCAGACCCATAGAGCTCAATTTTATTGGCAGAAATAGAGAAAGGGGTGAAATAGATTTAATCAAAAACTGGTGAAACAAAATGTATATAGTTTTTTTCTACTATAGCACCTCATCCTTTCTGCTTTAATTTGAACCAGATTGAGACTCTTTAACTTTTTATTTTCATATTCCCTTCCTTGATTTCACCTAAAAACAAAATGTGAACAATTATTTCAATATTTATGATAACTTTTTAAAGACTACACCTTTATGATACTTTACAGTCATTCCTGCTACTTATAGGCTACTTATCCTTAGCCTCATTAAAATGCTTTTACATTTTTTTCCTTTTTTCTCCAAATACTGATGACTTTTCTTTATGTACCTCCCACTTACCAGACCCCACCCTTGTGGGTCTCATCACACTTCTTTTTTTATTGATCTATGTACTCATTTCACACTACCAGTCCTTGCACAACTTCTTTTCCTCGTGAATCAGACCATCTACGACGAAGGCGGCAGACAGTCGGTCAGTCTTCCTTCAAGTACCTGTTCAGGGTTGATGGACAAATGGGCCTACTGGAGTCCATCATTACTGGAATAAGAGATAATTTGGTGGAATGGAAGGGAGATAGATAAACAAATAGATAGATGTGGGACTGCTTCTGGGCTTTCTAGCCTGATTCGTTGGTCTATTCTGCACCAACACATACCAAGCCTGAGTACATGTGAACCATGATAATTTCATAATATTGTCTCATTCACTTTCCTTTTTCAATTTTGTTGTCATGGCCATTTTCTCATCCTTGTGAATTTTAATATCATTTTGCCAACTCATGAAAACCCTGTTGGATTTTTATTGAAATTGAATAGAGTAAATTGGGAGAGAACTGATATCTCTAAAATATTGAGTGTTCATAGTCATGAACATGAGATATCTCGTATTTATTGTTTCCTTTTTAGATACTCTATTTTTCATTTATTCAAAATTTATTTCCTAAACAGCTCAGTAGGGATAAAGAAGTGAATAAAGTCTCATCAAACTTAGTCTACTAGGAGCTTATATTCTAATATATATATAATATATATTTTAATATATATCACATATCATACATATCATATTTATATATATCACTTTGCCACCCTCTGTCATATCTAAATATGTTAACCTATTTAAATAGAAAAGTAAAATGACTTATAGCGAAAACCACTTGTATTTCAATGTACTCGAATCTTTGCCTTGTTAAAATGGAATATATTGTTACAATATAATTTTCCTTTTGGCCAATAAAGCCGCCCAAAAACTGTGCTGCCCGGGTCAGGGGGCGCGCTCTCTGTGTCTCCACCACTCCACCCCCAGCCCTGCGGCAATGTCTGAAAGGGATCAACAGCTGAGCCCTTGCCCATTCCTGCATTGGCAATGGTAAGAGCCTATGGGGTCCATATCTAAGCAGGTGCCTTTTTGTTCTAGTCATTATTCTTGGAATTACCCTAAAAATAGAGATAGTAATTCTACCACCATTGAGATGGCACCCGTTAGTTTACCCAAATTTCTGAAATCAATGTGTGTTCACTGGATTTTTTCCCCTATTGTATTTTTGAGCCATGACATTAACATTATGTTTCAGCTACTGGAAGTGCTTCACATTTACTCCTGGAGTTGTCAAAATAATATTGTTTGACTCCAGCTCTAAAATGCGTAAAGAACTTGCTCTACCACCCACAGTTCATCCTTCCCTGCACTTTGTTGTGGTTGTTGTTACGTTTGTTGTTGTTGTTATTGTGACATCATTTCTAGATTATCAGGTGAAAACACTCTCCTCTTAAATTTGGCTTCATTCCTCTAATGGGTTTGTTTTTCTTCCACGTACTTCTTAACTTCTTGTTAGAAATATAGACGAAAGCTTTAGCTTTCCAAGGCATGCCTCGGAATTGCAGGAAGCACCCTGCTGAGTACTGAGAGTTCTGACTGCTTAAACTCCTCAACACTCCCTCTTCTGGGATCAGCCTCTGCCTGATTTCAGTGATTTTTTTCAATTTCCTGTCTTGTGAATGGGAAAATCTCATGCAAATATGTAAAGGTGTAGCGCAAATAATGGGCATTGTGTGAGTGTTGGGTTTGTGTGGTTATTTTTCCATGAGATGATAACCAAGACAAGATGTTTCTAGCTAGGAATTAAGGCCCACAGAAATGAAGTAGAATGAAAACTTAACAAAATACTAGAAGACTTGAAAATAAAATCCTAACAGGCTATTAAAATATAAAGCTTGGGGCCAGGGATGTAGCTCAGCAGCACAGCACCTGCCTGGCAAGCATGAGGCCCTGGGTTCAATTCCCAGTAGCAAAAAATAAAATAAAATAAAATAAAATATAAAATTTGTAATTCTTTTATAATTTTAAGAGACTCTTTTCTTTCTTTTCTGTTTGAAGGGAAAAAGGAAAGACATACATGTAAAATAAACCCCCTCCAAAAAGGTAAGAAGCAATGTGAGGACCTGCTCTGTTTAGCTTGCCATGGTCCTGATCTTCCCTCTAGCTCTCACACCGCTGTGGCTCCAACGTCTCCTACAGGCCAGGAAACAAACTAATGGATACTGTGGTGCATCATGTAACAAGGAGATCCCAAAATACGGGCTTAAACCAAACAGTTCTCATCTCTTTCATGCAACAGTGCAGATGTAATAGGAAGAACCTGCCTTCCTTGACACGTGGTTGCCATTTCTGGGTCCTGCCAGGCTAATGTGCGGCTGGTGGGGGTGAGGGAAATGGACAGAAGAATCAACCATTCATTTCTTCAGCAGAAATATTCTGCTCACATTCCAGCTTCCAAAACTTACTCATATGGCCAGAGCTGGCGAGTAAGACTAAGAAATATAATTTCTGGCTAGGTATTCACAGGTGCAGTTTTAACTATTATGAGAGAAACAAAGAATGATAATGGGGGAGGCAAACAGTAATCTGCCTACTTGTCCACGTTTGTATCCAAAATCTTGGATGCCCTCAAATAAGGAGGAAAATATAGACTCTCCATGGGTTCAGATCTAGCTTTTTTGTTACCTGAGACTGTATGGCCATTGGAACCTGGAATGCAAGGGTCAGAGACTCCTGATGGCAATTAGGAAAAGTGGGGGGAGGAGCAACTGTCAGAAAGAGTGTTGTGACTAAAGAATACTGGCAGTAGAAACACGAATCAATTAAGCAGAATCAGAGTCCTGCTACCACATCAGGTCCAAGGCTGGGAAACACGCAATTATTTAAGCCAGACTCAGCCCAAGCACACACCTCACACTGTGAACAGGAGGAGAAAGAAGATACGGGACACACTATTACATTCTCTGCGTCGGATTCTGCAGTTTTTCATTTCTCTTGACCCCAGTTAACCATTGAGGCTTAGCAATTACAAGGCCATAGGCTTCATATTTTCATTTATGTATTAGGCTCTTGAAAAATTACAGTACAGTAAAACTTTTAAAGCACTATTGTATAAAATGTGACTTTTTAGTGACATCTGCTTTCATATTTTCTATTATCTTAGGGAGAAAGAGAGGCGGGAGCAGAATTCTCTCCACACTGAGTAATGGAGCCCCAAGGAAAAGAGGTTGGCCAAAAGGTAAAAAAAGAAATGTTTTTAATAAACGTATCAATTTTCATGCTTTATTTTATGCTGTTAGTGACAGCCATTGAAAAACACATCGGATTTAGTGAATTTCCAAAATATGCCAGGGAAAGAAAGATAATAGCACAACAACAACAACAAAAATAACCTACAGATAAAGCTATGACCTGACCACAGGGGCCAGATCCTACCCTGCTGCCTCTGCTCAGCTGGTAACTTTGAACTCTGGAAAAGTTGGGGGGTGGGGTACGACCCCACTGTAACTCACAGGGACATAGCCAGCCCTCCTCTTACCACCACTGGTGGTTATTGTGTGGACCTAGGTTAAGTCTAGACCAGACGTCAGCAAGCTGTGGCCCGATGGGCTAACCCACCTTCCAACTGTTTGTAAATGGAGCTTCATTGGAACACATTCACCTATCATCTATGGATGCTTTCACAATATAATTGCAGAGCTGAGGAGTCACAACAGAGAATGTGCAACACGAAACCTTGAATATTTACTATCTGGCCCTTTTCAGAAAAAAATTCCTGACTTCTGGGCATTTGATATTTTTTTAAATATTAGACAGGCTCTTAAAAAGTTACCTTCAAACAGTGTTTTCTTCAACATTCTATTTGCAATGCACTGTTATACACTAGAGACATTAATGCTGTTTTTCAATTTTCTTAGGGAGAAAAAGAGCCAACACTAAACTTTTGAGAAGAGTCCGAAAAAGAGGTAAAAAGAAATGATTAATAAACTTTTATCAGTTAAACATTTCAATTCCTAACCCATGTTCTGAGTGATAAGTCAATTTTTTTTTTTTGGTACCGAGGATCGAACTCAGGTCCTTGTGCTTACACAGCAGGCAACGAAACCACTGAGCTAAATCCTCGGCCCCGATAAGTCAATTTTCTCTATTTGCTTATGGAATCAGTAGCAAATATTGGGCTTTTCACAGACATTGGTCAATTTCGACACGACAGGCTGGTGATGTCTCCCACTCCACTGACAGTCCATCTGAGACCCAGGCTGCCGGGCCTGCACCCACCTTCACATTGGTGACATCTTGCCCTTGTAGAAGATCACAGACTCTGCACAGAAGTGAACCCTAGATGGCAACAGAAGACCTACATTCTAATTCCTACAATTGCTTTAACTGTACAACTTTGGTCTGGGATCTGCCTGTTTGACTCAGTTTCCTCATCTGTAAAGATGGAGGAGAGAGTGTCGAGTGAATTAGATGAAGTGTCCTGGTAGGGCCACCCAAGCCCTGATAGTCTGTGTGTATCTGAAGCAGTCTGGGAAGACCGTGGATGGTCCATTATCTATACCCAAGAAAGGAGCCCCAACTTGCATTTGATGGGCCCCCTAACCTCGGCTGGAAGGGCAGGAGCAGCAGCCCTAAAATTTATTTTAAGGCCTTCAGTACTGGCTTCAGTGGAATCAAATGCCCAGTCCCCCGCATGTGGTGTGCAGGGCTCCCTGAGAAACTTGCAGCCTCTACCGAGGCCACTGCCCTGAGCCACTGAGAAAGCTCAGGTGAAGAAGCAAAGCAGAGGCCAAAGAGAGAGACAGATATCGCCAGGTTAGGTGCCTACTGCCATCCTGCTCTGCTCCTCCAGTCGATGCCTTGAACAGGGACACTAGGTTCAAATTTGAGTTATTTTCTTCCTCTTCCTAAGATCAAAGGCATAAAATTACCAGAAATCTGTCTTCCAAACATCAGGAAGAAAGTCATTTTGCAGTGACTAGTTGGGCCAACAAGCTTGGGAGCTCAGATTCTGCCCACAAGGCTTTCCCGGAGTTGGTGGAGGGCTGTGATTTGTAGGGTGACATTATCTAAGGGCATCCAGTTTGCCCCCAAAACCTGTAGATGTAAGTAATTCATGGAGAAAATTCAGTACATTTTCAAGTTTTAAAGGAGGAATCTCAAGGAGTATTGGAGAGGCTGGACAGTTTTAGAAGAACATGGAATTAAAATGCAAAAACTTCCTTGCAGGTCCCAGAATTCCCAAGGAAACGAATGTGAATTTCAATATTCCTGAACTTCCTGTGACCTGCGGTAATGCTAAGGGGACTCTGTATAAGGAGATGTTTAAGCAAGGTGAGTTTCATGGTCCTCCATGCTTTTCAACAGTAAAGTGTCCCTGTGAAGAGAGTTCTGTTGAGGGAGTAGACACTGGTGTTGGGGGGTCACTGTGTCCAGCTCTGGGCTTGGAGACTGACGGGGAGGATTTCTGATACCCAGGACATGGTCTTACCACACCCAGGCTTTGTGGAAGTGAAAGCATGCCAAGCAAAGTCAGCAAAGGGAAAAGAAACCTGGGCAAAGCCCAGAGGAAAGCAAGCGCAAGCTTCCCAAGAGTGCTGTCACATGGGAGTCACACAGAGGCCACTTCCTTTCCTAGCAGCCCACCGTGAGGACACACGTGAAATGTTTTCTACCGGGGAAGTTGGTCTGAGCATAGCTCTGGTAGTGTACCCCAGAATTCCAGACTTGCAGGAGGGGAGGCGGGTTCTTCAGAAACCACATTGCCAGTTAAAACAGTTCATGTACAGGGAGCCAATCCCATCCGTTCTGGGAGCTGCAAAACTGCTCCCAAAATTCATATCTCCACACACTAACCGAGGGCCAACCTTACACAAAAGCGCTCCTAAAGATAGTCTCAGGCCCGCCATGTTAACTCTTTTCTGAACAACACCCCAGATAGGCTGCAGTAATGGTAGCATTTGCACACTTTTAAATTTTGTAAAATGTTAGTCTTCCAGTGCCATATCACCTTCACCCGTGGCAAAGGCCCACAAGATGCCTATTTAGCACCCAGTACAAGGGCGGGCACTTCAACAGCTGGGTAGAAAATGGACAAGCCTGAAAAAACTCAACATCAACCTTGACAGGCCCCTTCCCTATGATACCCATTCAGCCTTAACCTAAGTGGGAAAAGACCAGATTAGAATTAGAGAAAAGAACTGCATTCAAGTTTCAGCTATACCAACAACGTATCAGTCCATTTTTCTTTACTATAACAAAATACTAAAGGAAGGATACTTCAGAAAGAGAAGAGGTTTGTTTAGCTTACATACAATTTCGGAGGCTAGATGCTGAAGATCCTCATGTGTTTGGCCTTTGGTGAGATTCTAATGGCAAATGGCATCATGGCAGAAGCCATGTGTAGGAGGAAGAGATAACACCACAAGACAGGAAGCCAGAGAATGATGGAGAATTCCCCAAGGGCAGTGGCGTCAATGATCTAAGGGCCTCCCAGTGGCCTCACCTTTTAAAGAATCCACCACCTGTCACATCACCACACTGAGGACCAAGCCTTCCATCTTCGAACCCTTGGGAGACAGACACACTGAGAGTGTATCCAAACCAGGGCACACAGCATTCAGGTCACTTGCAGCAAGGCACTCAGTCTCTCTGACCCTGAACTTCCTTCCTTACAAAAAAACAATGATAAAACTTTCTCAGCATTTTCTTATGAGAAAAAAATAAGATAATAGATATAAAATACTTGGCAAATTATAATTGTTGTAGAATCAATATCTATCACGATCGATCCTCTCTCTCACGTGACAGTTGTATGGATACCAACAAATATAAATGTTTGCTCTATGACTCTACTGTCTGTGTAATTAACTTTTCCCTCTAGTTAACATTTCCATCTGACTATAAACATCAAATGGCCATGAGCCCAAAATCTGAGAAGTAATTGATTGTCTTTAGTTCAAGGAACAGTTTCATATAAGGCGAGGCAGATGTGGCAGCAATGACAGCTTTCACGTGCCAAACGGGGTTCACAAGGACCCAGCAGAAGGAAGGCAGGGCTATTCCTCCTTATCTGCCTCTCTGAAACTCATGTTGGCTCCATCCTGGGGCTCAGAAAAAGGAGGAGAAAGAAGTTAGCTCATTATTTAGGTCATTCATTTCACCTCTTTTTAATACAGTGAGGTACTTTTAAAAGGTAATGTCAGTGGTAATTCCTCTCCTGATTGCATGAAGGTCAAAGAAATATACACATAAGGCAGGGAATCCCTTCTGTCCTTGATTTTCAGACTGGGTGGGGTCCCTGGTGTCTGAGAGGAAGCACACACGCTCCTGAGATGGATCTGAGCCCAAGGGCACAGGATGCCAGGATGCTTGTCTTGGTTTTATAGGAGTCTCGAAGAAGAGCATAAAGGGTGAGGACGGAAGCTGGCTCAGCCCCAGGGAGTTTGAAGTTAGAGGAAATCACGCAGCATCCAAGAACTGGAAGCTCAGTGTGCGCTGCCATGGATGGACCCTGAAAGAACTGATGACGGTATTTGAGTGACAAATGGCTTCCAACAAGGATTCTGGTGTCACGATTCACCAACACCAAGCTTTAGCAGAGTTGCTGTGTCCAGAAAACTGTCATGATTTCTTTTCTTGGGTCACAGTGCAGATGTTATTACGAACAGACCAAGGTGTTGTCTTGGCTGGCTTATGTTACACCTTATCCTCTTAAATCGATCAACTCATACCCATTTGAAGGTAGGGCAGTAAGTTGTGGCCTTCACTCTGCCACTAATTAACTGTCAAATTTGGTGACATGGAAGTAACTTAAATTGGAGGATGAGGGAATTCCTTAAATTTGGTGGGCCAGTGTTAAAAGTAGCATCATGCAAACACATACCAGAAATAACACATCAACATAGTAGTCCCTGGGTTATGGGCTATTTCAACATTTCTTTTGTTAAGCTACCTCAATGTCATTTTTTAACAATTTTTCTATATTTTTATGGTGCCAGAATCTCACATATGCTAGGCAAGTGCTCTATCACTCAGCTACAGCTTCAGACTCCTCAAATTTTCTCTTAAAAAAGAATATTGAGGGATGGGGATTTAGCTCAGTGGCATCATGCCTGTCTCGAAAGCACAAGGTCCTGAGTTCGATCCCCAGTACTGCAAATATATATATATATACAGCATTTTTAATTGACTCCTTTCTCCTCTTATCAACTCCTGATATGGAAAAGTCAGGGACAGTCTGTGGCAGGTACAATGCTCCTGCTGTCACCTGTCCCTTGGATCATCTATCATATGCAGGAATGTTTCCTAAGCCTCATCTGCGACCACAACGGAGGAAAACAGGGGAGCCCCTGGCCAGGACTGCAGTGCGTCACTACTGTGATGAGACGCCCGCAGGAAGAGGGGCAGGAGCTCCAGGGTGTGAAGGTTCAGAGGGAGGCTGAGAGCATGTGGACCACTTCATAGAGCAGTTTGCACTGAGCCGGCCTCCTGGAGAAGAGCTCCAATGAGGACATTCTATGTACAGAGAAAGGGTGGCATGAAAATCTGTTCCTCAGTGTGTCAATGATAAGGGAATGATAAGGCTCCATTCATCACTGGGCAGTTTGTGGGGGTCCTGGGGCCACAAGAGTGAGTCTAAATCCTTCCATGAGTCACTGGGAAGCATGGGAAATAACCTCCATAAAGACATCTTGAATGTGAGTTCACAGTGAGAAACCCAGGTTGGAGTATCTGAAAGGCAACCAGAAATGCCAAGCTCACAAAACAAAAACAAAGACTCATCATAACATCAACCTCTACTCTCTTTCAGAGAGGATATCTACCAGAACCACCAAGTAGAAGAAAAAAGGTAATTATCCTATGATCTTCTGCCAATGTCTCCTCTGTCACCTTGCTGATTTTCCATCTCTATAGCTGTATAGTTTTTTAATTGACCACTCCCGATAAAATTCAATTTTATAATATGGTGCTGCTTTCAAACATAACACAACATAAGAGGCCAAGACTTCTTCCAGCATTCAAACATATGTGACAGAGGGGTTGAAGGGAGGACAGGGGAATGGGGAAAAAAGAAGAACCAAGATACATCACGTAAGGGTACAAGTTCCCAAGGATGAATGTAACTGTGTTGTATGCCTAAAGTGTACCAATAAACTTAATGGAAAAAAATAAATAGTAAGATTGAACTGACCTTGTATACACATGTTAGAAAAATACTCAAATGTCGTCCTCTCTTAAAATTAAATATGAAAGGTGGGGCTGAAATTGGAAAAACAAGCACAATTTTGAAATCCACAAAACAATACATTTAACCACCTCCATCTCTGCAACCTCAGCTTAAATGCTGATTGTCTTTCCTTGTTTTTTCTGGGTTCTATTTTTAATGAAATAACAATGGAGCATAGGATTTCCTAGAAACATCCTACGGGCACTCCATAGAACCTAATGTAAAATTCTCCTTGGAATGTATATATCACCCAGAGAAGCAAATAACAAAACCCAGAATCTTTTCCTTTTCTTTCTATATTTCCTCCACTACACACACACACACACACACACACACACACACACACACACACAGAAGGGAAATCTTTTTCCTTAAGTCACACCTGAGAATATAGCTATTAAAGGCAGAAGAACCCTGTCAGGCAGCTGCTATGTTTGATGTGCTTTGAATCCCCAAAGACTCATGTGTTGCAGTTTAACCTCCACTGTGAGAGATTAAAGAAGATGGAAAATCAGTCCAACTACAGTGTTAATAGGTGGGGGATTTGGAGGTGATTAGAATTAGCTAAGAACATCATGACTGGATATTAGTGGCTTTTTAAAATTATGATAAATGTATTTTTCAATTTTATGTGAAAATAAAACAAAATTTCATAGCAAAATAAGAGAATAAGAAAAATTAATACAGTGTGTATCCTTACCCTAAAGTAGTTACTTACAATATAAAACATAAACATAAGGGAGTGAGAGGCCAAAAGATACGCACCACGCATGCCCTATCTACCTATCTACCTATCTATCTGTCCATCATCTGTCATCTCTATCTCTCTTTCCATGTGTCACCTTGGGATTCTGCAAGCAAGAAGGCCATCATCAGAATGGGTGCTTCAGCCTCCAGAACAGTGAGCTAAATGAACCTCTTTTCTGTATTCACCTAGCCTCCGATACTTTGTTATAGTAACACATACTGACAAATACAGCTTACTGACATGGAAAATCTCTTTTCATGGAGAGAGCCTTTGGCTTCACCAGCAGGGCTGTGCAGACTTCACTTCTGTCCCTGACACCGATTTCTCCCTCTCTGGAAGTAGTGTAGAGGTCTTGGACCAGCAATGTCCATGCTATGTGGACACCAGGGAAAGTGGTGAGAATTTGATGTTTTCCAAGATCTCTCTAAGGCTGGATATAAAACAGAACCTGGTAAAGGAGAAAGATGTAAGAACTTCCATTTCCCTGGGGAATTAGCTCAGTGGTGCTGCCGCCTGCCTTGCAAGTGAAAGGTCCCAAGTTTGATCCCCAGTACCAAAAAAAAAGAGAACTTCCATTTCCAAAATCTTTGACAGAGGTGACCTTCGGTATCTCTATCACATCAAAAGGACATAGTCTTCACAAAGCTAGATTCCCGGCTCCCTGCCCACTGGCTTCATGACAAGAGATTCACTGATTAGCTTTCATATCCATAGGGTTTTCTGCATAAAGAGACATTATTTGATGCATTCATTAAGACCAAAGATGTCCACCCAGCTCCAGAGAGCCAAAGGTGACTCAGTCTGGACTGATAAACTGAGTCCGCCACCTCTCACCACTTTGTCCCAGCTCCCTCCCTCTGCTCCCTATGGGATCACAGCTCTAGAGGTGGGACCACCTTGTCCTCAGAGGGCCTCTCCAAAGGTTCTTGCTTCCCCAGCTCCTTGGCCTTGGTGCTTGGGTCACTCTCTGCACCATGTGCCAGGCGCTGCTGTTGGCAGATTCCCTGCTCATAGGTTTCCTGTTAATCCTGCTGGTGCTAGCTAAGGTGCTCTAGAATAAATAGTAAGATATAGAAGCCCATGGTCACTTATTGGCAGCTAAGAAATCTCTTTTCCTGAGTGAGAACTGTGCTCATTTGTCATGCGCTTGTGTAGCCATCCAGCAAACAACTGCAAAGCAACTACTAAGGGCCCGGCGATGGGCTTGGCAATGCCCTGCAAAGGAGGCCAAGACAACAGACCCCAGGATCGTGTCCTCCTTGTCTTACCTGGGAGAATGACTAATAGACGGCAAGCTCTAGGGCTTCAGGACAGAGTGGGAAGGTGCCTACCTTCAAGAAGAAGGTAGCCTGGGACCCTGGACGCCCTTATCTTCAGGGCTGTGCTCCTAGGCAGGGAGATCTTCTCCCCTTGCAAGGCCTCCAAGATCCGGGACCTTGTGCCCACTTGGGGCCTTGGAGGATGCGGTCCCAGCCTGATTCCCACTGATGCTGCTCCCAGAGGGTGACACTTCCTAATTCAAGGAAAACTGCCTGGGGGCCTTCCAAGTAGGAGAATGAGTAGAGATTCTCCAGCTCAGCCTGGTAAGGAAGACCAGACTCCCTGTAGGGGTTCACAAAGATTCACCCTGCATCCAAGGGGCAGGGAATGGAACTGGCACTAGAACTCATTGATACATAATTTAATAGTTTTTAATTCTCTTATAAGTACACAGGCTTATAAAAGCAGATTTGAAACAAAACAAAAAGGGCTACGCCATAAACCCCTTAAAGAAGCGATCAAATATGTGATTGATGCAATACCACGTTCAATATTGTCACTCAACCTTTGTCTCTTTCAGCAGAGAACACTAGATTCTTACCTCAATGCCCCAGTGGACCCTTATGTAAGTACTGACTGCCGGCTCTAACCTGTAAGAGCCCAGCCTTTTCCTGGGCACCTCAACTGTGTTACCACTGCTTTTCCCTGAAGCAATCTCACTCACAGGTGTAGCACATCGCTGTGTGATGAGCAGGGGACACAAGATGTGCACCCAAGCCGGGTGCATTTGTCCAGGATTGGGCATCTCCACTGAAAGCATCCTTTGTCTGTTTCAGTGGAAACATTCCATGCTCTCGTTTCCCCTCAAAATCGAGTGTTGGAGGCAGAGCTCTATACCATTGGGGTCTCTAGAGATAGAGCTTAAAGAGGGCATGGGCAGAGCCGGCCTGCAGATGATGGGTAAGCAGCAAATTTGAGAGGAAAATGGCACTTTAAAGAAGCAGTGGGGATGGAAAAGAAAAGCCCTCAATATTTGCTCCCTGGAGCAAGTAGAGCTCAAGGTGGTCTTAGGCATCAGACAGAAAGAACAAGTCAGGCCCTGCTGGCAAGTTCAAGGTGGGCACCTTGTCCTTAGTCCTGCAGAGAAAGTGGAGCCTTCGTGATGCCCCCAGGCCCAGTATGAAGGGAGCCAAACCACCGCCCCTTAGTGAGCCACAGGACACTTTTCCTCGAGCTGCTCTGCTGGGGCTGTATGAAGCGCATCCCATTCTGATCCCTCAGGCCCTGTGCAATCTCTGCTCTTGGTGTGGCTGCCCACTTTGGGGTCTGCTGAAATCACGGATGGCCCCCTCTGTCAGCAGCTGGATCATGCTTGGTTCTTTTTGTGGCAATGAGGGGACATTTTAGTCAGGGTCACCTCTCACTCCAGATCACTGTGCAGCCGGACACAGGACACCAGGAGAGAGAGGGTAGAAAGGGGGCCCCCATGCCCTCTGGCTTCCTCGCAAATGCACTGCCCTTGCAAGATCTAGAAAAGTCCACACTGCACTCGTTCCTCTGCTGGAGCTGAGACCTTCAGTGGTGAAACAGCTTTCACCTCCGGGTCTGCGTAACTTGTGTGATAACAAGCAGACACGGACTGTTTTTCTTGAAGCTCACAGCCAAGCCCTCTGTGAAAACAGAAATGCAACTGGATGTCTGCACCCCTTTCCATGACCTTACTCCTGCCAAACTTGCAGGCCGATGATGGTTTCCTTAGGACTCCCCTGCCCTTGCTTGGGAGAGCATGGGCTCTGTGCCTGGCTGTGCCCTGGGGTCACGGGGTCAACAACCTCTGATGTTACTGGTCTCAAAGACCACCCGAGAATCATAGTTTTCCCAGCCTCCCACAGTGGCTTGTCAACACACCGCCAGCTGGGAGTGGCCGTGGACTGGTGCTGCTTCTTCTAGTGTCCATCCAATCCATGCTGGCTGAGCCCCACCCTGTGCCCCTGACCCCTCCTGTGAGGAGTGGAGCCCAAACTGTGCATTTCTAGAAATCCAGGGGATGCTGCTGGTTCAGAGACCACTGTACGACGGTACAACTAGGAGAATCTGGGGTCCTGTGAACTGCTCCGGTTTCCCAGTCCCAACTCAGCCTGAATTGGACTATGTGGTGATAGGGCCCTAGTTACCTGGATTTTTTTTTTTTTGGCAGCACTGAGGATTGAACCCAGAGCCCATTGCATGCTAGACATGTGTTCTACCACTGAGCTACATCCCCAGCTTGTTAAAAAAATTTCCTCAGGTGATTCTGAAAGTCTATATAACAAGTTGAGAACCACTGCTAACCAAAAGAACAAATCTCTTGCCAAAAAAGATTGAGGAGAGGGCTTGGGGATATAGCAGTGTGGCATGTGCTAGGCCCTGGATTCAATCCCCAGCACCACAAATTTAATACTAATACTAATACTACTACTAATAATGATAATAAGGCATAACTCCAGTGTGCGGTCTTCTTAGATGATGGGGCTCCAAGAACAGGACTTGCCTGCATCATTCCTTCCTTCTCAGGGCCCTCTCAGTGTATTTTATAGGATGATGATCCCGAAACCTTGACTCAGCAGCCACAAACACTTTTCAGCATCCTTAAGTCTCCCTGTGGTGACAAAAAGGAAGGATGGTTATAAGGCCCCCGCTCAGGCAACCTAAGGAGACCTGAGAGGATGAGCCAAGGACGTCCCTACCAGGCCATCCAAGTATTCCTACTGAAAGAGCACCTCTGGGCCAGATTCACGTGGCAGGCTAGAGTTTGTTCATACATGTGGCTTTTGTGTCTTTTCTTATACTAAATTCATAAATGAAGAGAAATTTCTTTCTTTCTTTTTTTTTTTTTGGTACCGGGGATCAAACTCGGGACCTTGCACTTGCAAGGCAGGCGGCAGCACCACTGAGCTACATCCTGGCCCGAGAAATTTCTAATTATAATTGAAATTACCTCAGCTCATTGGGCCCGGGAGTGATATTACTAACTATTATGATGTTTAACCCAAACAGCAGGGCAGTTTGCTCAGCTGATAGGCTTGTAAATGGGCTCTCTGCATCCTTACCGCAGCAGGCCTCACAGGAGCTCCGAGAGAGGTGAGGTATTTAAAACTTAGGACCAGCAAGACTGCTGCAGGGCTGAGGGTGTGGACGGGGCCACTCGGGGTTCACATGCAGGCTTCGGGATGGACGTTGGTGGTTGTGGAGATTCGCGACAGGAAGACGAGGGTTGGGAATTGTGCCAGGAACGGGACAGTCAGTTTCCACTAGAGAGGATGGAAGCAGAGTTGGCACACTCGAGGACGCAAGACGGGGCCAGGAAAAGGATGGAGAGGTCGGAGGATGTGTGCTGAATGTGTTCATGGGAAAAGCTGTGGTCACTGAGAAGAGTGAAATGAGCAAAGGATGTAGAACCGAGCCTCGAGTTCTAACCGCACAACCCGAGAAGAAAGAGTCAGAGCGTTAAGGAAAAAAATCCAAGAGAGTGCAGAGTCACGGAAGAAAGCAGAGTGTTTCTAGAAGGAAGAGGTGGAACTGTGCTCCCTGCCACCTTCCCACCCACCAGAGCCCCAGCCCCAGGACCCGTGAACCTGTTGGGGTACTTAGATTATCACCGAAGGATGCGAGAGCCTCCTCACAGCCGACAGTGCGGGGGATATTTTATCTGGGGTGGAGCCACTGCTGCGGAGCAACTGTCTCCCCACCACGCAGTGGGCCCCAAGGTGCTCTCCTTCTGCTCGTAGGGCACCAGGAGAGGAGCCAGGGGCCTATCTGCAGCTGTTTCTCCCCAGACAACTCTCACTCATAGGCACTGTCCTGTGTAGGGGTCACCTGTCACTGCTACATAGAGTGTCACCCAAAATGGGGGAGGATGTGACTTCCCCTGCCCACCAGCGGGCTTCTTCCTTAAATTCTTATTGTGGCCTACAAAATTCTATTGTGTGTAACAAGTGCAAACCCCTCTGCAATACCTACATGCAAATATAGTTAAAGTTTTAACTTCACTAAATATAATTAAATTTGGCTAAGATCATACTTATATTGAGATTGGTCAGAAATCCAGTACTGGTCAATTTTCCACAATTTCCCATTTTTCCTTTCATAGAACAAAGCTGCAGCTCTTTCTTGGGCCCAGAAAATGAAGATAGAAGCTCAGTCTTTAACCAGGCAGTTGCCATGACAACAGCTCTTTGATGTTAGAGACCGCACCTCCCTACCTTACATGCCAAGTTGGATGAGTCGTGGGAGACCTTTCCCCAGACTCCCAAACCCAAAGAGCTATGTCCTCCCTGACACCCACCTGGTCATCTGAACACTGTCAGAGGAACAGAAGCCCCAGTCTAAGAACTGCTCCCCAGGCCTTTTCTCCAACTCGTGGGGAATTTATTGCCAAGGCTATAGAATGGAGTGAGATCTCGATTTGTTCCATCATATCAAGCTCTCAGTAGATCACCTTACAGGAGTAAATTTAAATACGGACAACTAGGAGAGACAAAGTATTCGAGAGCCAGGTTTTCCAAGGCAAATAATTAGATTATCTTTAACTCATCCCTTTGTTGTTGTTGCTGCTACCTCTTCTGTGTCAGAATCATTATTTTCAAAATATTTTTTTTCTGTTCTCACAACTGTCTCCTGAATTTTGTGGTGGTCCAGAATGCCTTCTTCTAAAATAAACCTCCACTCATACCGTTAATGGTTTGAGGACAGAGATTTACAAGTGTTATCTTGGTACATGCAAGGCCACATGTTCTCAAATTTCAACAGGGCAACCTTCTAAATGCTCAGTGATCCAAATGATATCTACATCACTTTCCCTTCTAGCCAGAAAATTCAAATGAATGTGAAGTGTGTGCCCAAGGGGGACAGATGTACTGCTGCGATACCTGTCCAAAATCCTATCATGAGAACTGCCACATCCCGCCTGTGGAAACTGAGAGGTGAGTCAGACACAGTCCTCCCCCACCTCACCCTTCCTGCTTCCTCCTGCCTAGCACATACATCCTGCAGAGTTTCTGTCTCTAGCTGGGTTCGTCTTGGTGCAGAGGGACCAGAATCCTTAGCATCGAGATCCAAAAGTATCATCCAGAGCGGTGGTACTGGTACTGTAGTAGCAAGTTAATGGATAGCAAAGATTCTCCAGGTAGTTATTAGGTGAAATAGTAAGGGGTGTTATCCCACCTCCCCTTCTGAGTTCTCAAACCTGTGTGCTCTGATGGAGTGATGATGTCAAACACTGTGGCTGAGTTCTGCTTGTACCACTTGCTGTGAGAACATCACACACGATGTTGGTGGAGCTGGTGTTCTATGAGCCTTTGGAGGTCCATCCCATTGTCTGCTGGGTACATGATAAGACCTCTGAATTCTGTGGGTGGGAGCCTCCTGATGCACTCTTTTGGGCTGTAAATGTGTCTTTGGACAGAGGTGATGGGGCATGTGAGATGGATAAAAGATGTGAGTGGTGTCGTAGACAGAATTACTGTGGCCAGGAGAATGACCCCTGGAATGTGTCCAGTGATGACAGAGCATTGCCCTTTCATGATGGGAAGAGTCTAAGAGGATCCACCCGTTCCCAGGACGCTGTCTCAGGGGAGCAATGTCAATCTCTGCTTTTGATAAGCTGAGCAATCTGCAGAGGCAGAAAGCAGATCGCCTCTTTTTGTACCTCATGTGTAGCTCCCATTTCTGTATAATGGACACTCTGTAGTGGACCCTTGAGCAAGTGCTGGGTGGCCAAAGAGATGCCAACAAGGCCAGGACAGGTCATTGTGTCACCCTGGTTACTGAGAGTCTCCTAGCACAGAGAACCTGGTAGAGAAGGAGAATAAATCTTGAGCCAAATGGATCTGACACCCTGTCAGTAGATTTCCTTTCCAAGCAGTTTCTGAAGCATAAAGTCCAGATCTAGATCTGGCAAGGCCAGAGGAGAGAATGTCTATAGCTCATGCTCCATGCTTATTCAGCAAGGTTGAGAAACAAGGGCTGGTTTCCTGATTTTACTATGGATCCTGATTACTACGGCTTACCAAGGTCCTACACTCGCATTCTTAAGGTAATAAATTCCAGTACTTGACTGGGATGACAAGGGTCATTATTAAGTGCAGAGTGAGTCAGATGGGAGCCCCAAGTTTTGAGCACAATGAGAGTCCTTCCACTGCTGGGACATCTCACTGGGCACATTATCACCCTGTCACCACTATTGATGGGAGGGGAGGTCTTTGGGTGTTGAGCCCAAATGGAGTTTCAGTGCAGCGGCCTCCAAGAGAGGAACTAAATACAAGATGGTACCATGTCATTCTCGAGCAGAAGACCCTAGCAGCTGTAGGAATGGTGGCTGCTTCGCAGACCCTGCCCCTTGCTCACTGTATGCCCAACCTCTCAGCAACCCGTGGAGTTGCATCTTCTGCAAGACAAAGGCTATTCGGAAAAAGTACCGAGAAAGCCAACCATGTCATCAGGAATCTGAGGTTCTGATGAAGGCGCTGTGTGATGAGGAACAGCTGGTGAGTTGATGTGACCCTGAAGCCCCTCTTATCATTCACAAGGAGGAGCACAATCTTGCAGAGGTAGAGGAATGGTGCCCAGAGACAAATCACTTTCTCCTGCTGTGCTTCCATCACATGACCTAGCACCAATATCCATATTGTAGAGAATCTCCAATCCAGGGAAATTCCTACTCTCAAAGAGTCCACAGTTCTGGGAGTCACATGTTCTGTCTGGACTGGGCACTGGCTTTTTCTCTTTAAGCTGCTCTGCACTTAAAATCTCCTCCTTCTTTTGCAGAAATGTGAACTGCTCCTCTTGAAGGTCTACTGCTGTGCAGAAAGTGCCTTCTTTGTCACAGAACCAAATTATGTAAGCAACAGCAACAAAGCTAGAAACTTGCATTTGTCAAAATCTGAATTCCAGGGGCAGAAGCTGCACTTACCTTTGCCTTGTTGATGGCTCTGTTACAGCTGCTGTAACAAATCACCATAGATTGTCTATGTACCACAGAAATGTATTTCTCACAGCTGTGTAGGCTGGAAGTTGAAGGTCAGGGTGGCAGCATGACGGGATTGAGATGAAGACCTTCTTCCAGGTTGCAGATTGGCTGCCTTCTCTGTTTCCACTTGGTGGAAAATGAGAGAGAGAGAGATCCCTAGAGTCTCAATAAGGTCACTAATCCCACTCAAGAGGGGCCCACCTTCATGACTTAATGACCCCAACTGTCCACCTCCTAACACTGTCACCTTGGGCTGGGGATTTCAGCATATGAGTTGGAGGGAGTGAGGATACAAAGGTTCAAACCACAACAGTAAGAGTCTGGGGAAGGTAGACTGGGAAACATGCAGACAGCCCTCTCTTTGCTGTTCTCCTCAACAGACCAAAGGGGCATCTGTGGGCCAACCGGCACGCGTGTGTTTAGACCAAATCAAGGCCAGGCTGAATGAGAAGAAGTACTCCCGAGTGAAGGAATTTGTGCAGGACATCCGTGTCATCTTTCAGAGCCACAAGCCATTTTACAGAGTAAGTGGTTCTCCCTGCGTCCCTTTTGCTTTCAGTCACTTTCCCTTTTGCCTTCTTCCTTGGGGAAATGTTTCAGTTGCCCTCCTCCTGTGGCAAACTTGGACAAGTGAAACTCCACAGAAATATTTTTAAAGCCCTGGGGGGCAGGTAGGGAAAGTAACAACACACCAGAAGGCGTCCTTGGAAAGGCGAGCCTAAGCCACCTGGGCCTGCTCACTTCTGGATAGTCGACTCTCAGCCGTGGAGAACAGCCCACTGCCCAGCCATTCACTGCCTACCGCTGCAAACGCAAGTGCCTTTTACAGGAAACCAGTGTTTCTCTTCTCACAGGAAGATACCAGATCAAGTTTCTCAAGTTTCAAAACCTTACATTTCTTTACATCCTAATTTCCTAGTGATCCATCAAAAAACTAACAAGGCTTCTCAAAGGGTGAATCTGTACTATCACATGGTTACAAATCATCAATGCGGTGTTTAAAAATCAAATAACAAGAACTTTGTAAAAATGCAGGTTGAACTTTTTAAAAATTAAATTGGTATCTTTCCAATCAGGAATTAGAGTGCAACATGCAGGTTGAACATATGAAGGTCCAAACTCTGAAATACTCCAAAATTTGAAACTTTTCGGGCATCAACAGGACCACAAGTAGTAAAATCCACACCATAAAACTTTGCATGAAATTATTGATTATATTTTATGCAATTACCTTTGGGCTATCTGTATAAGGTTTATATGAAGCATAAATGAATTTTGTATTTAGGCTTGGGTCTTATGCCCCAAATAATTTCATTATGGATATACATATATTCCAAAATCCAAAAAATTCTGCAATTCAAATCACTTCTAATCCAAACCGTTTGGATAGAGGATATTCAACCTGTAGAACTATTTTAGCTTCTCTGTCTCCCCAATAAAGAGAAATGAACTATGGGGGAACGTAAACTCCTCCGAACTGGATTATTTCTCACTTAGAGTTTGGAATAGTCCAAATGAGGCTTCCAATTATCTGACACACTGGGAGTCTAGGAGCATTGAATAATGGCTGCAATTACTTTTGCCTTTGTTTTCTCAGGAGAAAAAGTTCATCAGTCTGGGCACGCTAGAAGACAAATTTGAGAAGAATTTCAAAACCATTTTTGGAGTCCAGAAAACGACTCCAGACAATCACCTGTTGCCCCACTCAGGATCCTTCAGCAGCTAGCAAACAAAAAAGTTTTAAAATAATCATTGCTATTTATACATATTTTTGTCATTGATTACCTTGGCCCTAGGACCTTTGTTCTCGCCTTTGCTGTCTATGTAAGTAAAATGCTGTCTGAATCTTCAGTGGCTCCATTGTTTCTTGTTTTGTTTTCTCAGAGAAATCTGACAGCCGTACTGAACAGGTTCCCACGCCTGATATCTTCTGGTTATGGGAGGAAGTGGGTCACGTGTTGGTAGCTGATGGAGAGCATACAGGACAGCCTGCAGGGAAATACGCCTGCCTCAGAAATTACTATGCCCCATTGGCACCAAAAGCAAGTCTCCAACACACTATTTCAGCACTCAAATAATGAAATGTCATCATCAGACAGCATAATTTTGAGGATCAAATGAGCTTATACGCATAATAAAATCATTTTTGAAACACATGAATGTTTCCTGGCTACACACAGCAGGGATTCTGTACTTAAAATATCAATTCAAGCAGGACGTAGCAATTCTAGCCCGGCAATATGGAAAGTTGACTTTCGTTCCTCTGGAAGAACTTATTCTGGAAACATGAAAGGGGGCAAAAGTGCCAATGTCAGATCAAAATGACCTTTTGCATAAGTAACCTCTATATTTAATCATATCATAGCATGCAGTGTTGGTGATCTGTGGGCAGAAAAAGAAGTTTATTGGCTCTGGAAACCATAGGTACAAGCAATGACGAGTACACTCGGTGAGTTTGTCAGTACGACAGCCTGGAACACAATTTGTAAAGTTGTATCCAGCTTTCTCATTAATCGCTGAGGAATCTTTTTTTTTTTTTTTTTTTTTTTTTGCAACAAAGTATTGTATTTAAGCTTTGCAAAACTCTTAACAATTTAAATGTCAAAATTATAAATAGTCCCTTGTGCAACTACATCATCACTAAAACTCCCAAAGTTTAAAATAATAAAACACAGGTTAAAAAGATTCAACTTGAGAAAATACACTGGGAGTTAGAGTAGTTTCCCAAAGAGAGGGGCTAGCTTGTTGTTTTTACTATGTACACAAGTACATTACGATCTTCTAACAAGCTGGCATTTGTTGCCTAAAACTATTTCTACAAGACAGTAGTATAATACAGAAAAAAATAAGTATGGAATGAATCATAAATCTGAGACATGGTACCATAAACTAAATCTGTTAAAAATGCTTACCTCTTGTAATTGTATTTGCAAACTTAAGGGGTAAATTTCAAACTTTAATTCAGTAGGAGCAGACCAATCATATTTTTGCCTGAGTTCCAAAAGTTCTGAACAGCTTAACTATTCTAACATATTAAAAATAGTCCAGAGTCTTAAATACTGTGTCTGTGTAACATGGGCTTTCTTGGGAGTAATTTTTTTTTAACTTGCCATAAACTTGTAAGCCACAAAAAACAAAAATACTTTTTCCAACTCCATATTCTGATTAGGAGTATAGGAAAGAATCAAAGTATGCCAAAAGAGAGTAAGAATTTCTATAGGCATTAAAGTTTCAATGATATAAAAGACCACATGTGTTTGCGTGCATGTGTATCTGTCACATTTTTATTACCAGGTTAAATTTTAGATGACCTATTCTATAGCCTACAAATGTTAACTTTTAACAGGATTCATAATCTAACTCACTAGTTACTTCTCAGTAGTTACTTCTTGCTTAATCATCTGTTTGACCCATGTTTTCAATGGATTTTTCACTTGGTTTCAATCAATTCTTAATTATTTTGTTGCTTTTTCTTTTAGCTCCAATATTGTATGTTGTCATACAGACAACTCTCCCAGTTCTCTACATGGAAGTCTGTATTAGAGAGCAAGCAACCACAGACTCATCCCTGACAAGAAACCTGTTCCTCAGGCTTCTCCTTTAATCCTAAAGCCCCTCATGCAAGAATGCCTTCTGATGACAGGTCTAGCCTGGGAAGGTAGTGATGGATCTGCCCACAAGCTGCACTTCTGATCATCCTATCAAAGCAAGAAGGACCCAAAGGACAGCAGGAAAGAGAAAAAAGGCCCTCCTATCGCCTCTACCCCTTGGTCATCAATGCCTATCCTCTACAGCAAAGAAGATAATGAAGGGTCCCAACAGCAGTTCTCAGTTCCCAAGAACTAACCCAACAATTACCTGCTTTACTTGCCTCTTGTGGACCAGGCTGCCCTCCAAGCAGCTATAAATGCAATAGAATTCTTAAGACACAAGAACTTTCTTAACTCAGAAGAGTAAGAAGACATGTACATCATATAATGCAAAGCAACAAATTCTAGTCAATGTTGCAGAAAGACTGTTACTATAACATCAACATGCTTGAGCTAACTTTCTAAAAACATTTTTAGGATGGCCCAGCTCACAGTCAAAAATTGCCCTTAACTTACATTCTAGTTCAAACATTTCTAGTGTTTACTGTAATAGACAAAAAGCAGACAATATATCTGGATCTATGCCTAAACATGAAAATGAGTCCACAGGCACACTCTTAACCATCTTTCCAAAGAAATATGTTTAAACGGCTTTACCATGCAGAGCTATGGCTTCCCAGAAGGGTTGCAAATCAGTCTCTAAAGAGGAGCTAGTTTCCGCTGAAGGAGCTCGGTTAGGGGACACTACAGTCAGTCTTGGGGGAGCTCTAGTTTCGAGGTGGAGGAACCTTTCCACACAGGAAGCTGATCAAATCTTCTCTGCGAATAGTTCTTCTGCGTTTTTTAACCCAAGCCAACACATCCTTATTGCGTCGCTGATAGCCAATCTGAATTCCAATATCAAAACTTCGCTGATGGGTATCCACGCTTTCTTTGTAGAGGTTGGTGACAGCGGTGGCTGCGCTCTGGAAGGGAACCCAGAGAGAAAGTCCTGGCTGCTGACACATTCGGTCTTTGTAGAGCTGAGCCACGGCGGTGGCCGAGTTCTGGAAGAGGTGCCACAGCTTCTGCTGCTCGTGCTCGGGCTGCGCGGCGGCCGCTGCCTCCTCCTGCAGCTCGGGGGGCAGCTGCTCGTCCTGCTCGGCCTCGGCCAGGCACTGCCGCTCCCACTTAGAGAACCAGTGCTCCGGCCCATGCTCCTGGATCTCCGCCTCGCCCTCCTCCTTCCGCTCCTCCATCCCCCGCGGCCTCCCGCGGCCTCCTCAGGCGGGGCCTCCGCGGGAGCGTCGTCCTCCAGCGGCCCAGAGGAGGGACCCGTCGGCCTGCAGCAGCGCCTCTCGGCGGCCTGGGACTCCTACGACCCCGCCCCGCGGCCCCGCGCAGCCCCGGACGACCCCCGCCCAGGGCCTACTCTCCCCCGGGCCCCGCGGGCGGTCGCCGTGCCGGACTGAGCTCTGCCGTCCCTCGCCCCCTCGCCTCGGCCTCCGGAGCTCTGCTACCGCCCGCCGGTGGCGCTGTGGCCTCCCCGGGGCCGCTGTAGCCCGCCGAGCCCTCCGCACCACCCGGCCTGCGCCCCCTGCCGAGCCCACCCAGAAGACTCAATCGCTGAGGAATCTTGAATTCTGCAGTCAAGCAGAAGGCATGTTCCTCTAAACAGCTCAGCAGTTTTCTAAATAGTTCTGTTTTTAATCTGCAGTGTTGAACTCCTGTGGGAATATGAAGTCATCCCTTGCTCTAGATTTTCTGAAGAAATTGTAGTGTATAAAATATCGATCATTTGTTTTTACACTAAAATGTGTTGTATTAAACAGTAGAGAAAAATAAAGAAAAAACATAAATTGAATCTTCAAAAGGCAGTAGCACAGGGGCCGGGGATTTAGCTCCGTGGTTCCGCCACCTGCATCGCAAGAGCAAGGTCCTGAGTTCGATCCCCGGTACCAAAAAAGAAAAAAAGGCAGTAGCAGACAACATTCTAAATTCCCAAACCATGTTCTCCTTTTCTTCCTAAGCACACAACATGCCACACATCTCAAAGACCAGCCCCACACTCCTTATTAGCTAGTGCCCTGTGAACTCCAACTAAAGGAATGTGTACCAAAGTGAGATAGGCTATCCTGAAGCCTGGTCCACGATGTCTGCCACGCTACTTCCTTTGTGTGCAGGAGACGTCCAGCCCCATGACTTCATGGAAGTCATGGGCTGAAACCAGTACCATATCCCTTTCTCCAACTTGACCCCTAAGGATCTACGAGAAGATTTGTCCTGACATGTTGAAACTTTGTCGGGAGCAAAATGTCAACTTCTGCCACACCTGAGTCATTGCACATTGCATATTTATTTATTAGAGCAGATATCCTATCCTAACAGTTACATAGTACACAATATGAATCACCTGTAGTCAAACAGAAGTTTTTAAATTGAGAAACATATGAAAAATTGAATCGATCTTCTACCGAAAAGCTATTCATTGTAACATAATTCTTCCTTGCTGCTAGGTGTTTCCAAGTGCATTTTTCTAAAGGTTTGTTTCCTCCTTTGTTACCCACTTCATGGGATCTAGAAAATAAAGGGGAAGGCTTAAAAAGAACTTGTAAGTAAAAAGATAATGAAATCATGTGATAACTCACCTGGCAGAAGATTTGAGATCATAATGATGTTTTGATAATAAATTCTGTCTCTGCCTTTCTTATTTAAAAAAAAAGCCAAAACAGACAACCACAAAATTGAATTCTGCTATGAGAATGAGCATGAGTCCTGGATCTACTTTGAATTTTCCATGTTGATTTGTCAAAGATCCTTAAATATTCACAAGCTTTAGTTTTCCCATCTGAAACACCAGTTCCTCTGTATTAATTGTGAAATTATAACTTCTTACCTCCCTTGTTTTAAAAATGAAAGTACAGAAAATAGAATCCCCAACTAAAATGAATCCATTGCAATCATGGTTGTTCTGAATACAAATGGTAATCTCTAGCCAATGGTTCCCAATCCTAACTTCCTTCCCTTGTCTAATTATTGACTTGGGCTTGAGCTAGTCATGTCCCCTAACCACTGCACAAGGAATGAAAGCCCTTTTAGTCTCAGAGTAGTCTCAGTGTGTGGTAATGGAGCACCCCAGGAGGAAATCTCAGGGGAAACTCATACCTGGGATGCTCACAAGGTCATCTTGGTCTGCTCTTTTCATCAGACCTCAGTGTTTCAGGCACTACAGAAGAAACTAAGAACTTCTCACCCACATGGAGTATCTTTGCTTAGCATTGC